TATGTATATATATATATATATATATATATACATGCAACAATTTGTGGTAAATCAACCTTTATGTTAAATGTTTGGAAATGTCCTGTTTCTGTTTTAGGCAAAGCAGCTCTTTCCTGATGCCGAGAAAATGGCCCCGAAACCTAGTGTTGACCCCACAGTAAAGGTAAATGTTATCCATATTGTAATGCAGTTCATTGAGAATTTCATTTCATATGTTAATTATATGTTATTATATCTGGTATTATAGCAGACATTTTTCACATTTTATTTTATTTGAGTTCTAAGTTGTTGTTTTTATTTCTTTTTTTTTCTTTTGTTGGTTCCACAGCGTGCACGGCAGCCAGACGACTCCTCTGGCCAGAGAAACAGCCCCATCCCTAAAAAGGTTAAAAAAAAAGTATTTATTATTTTCTATTTTAATATTTGTAATTTATATGATGTAAAGCTGAATTTTCAGCATCATTACTCCAGTCTTCAGTGTCACATGATCTTCAGAAATCATTCTAATATGCTGATTTGCTGCTCAAGAAACATTTCTGATAATCAATGGTGAAAACAGTCATGCTGCTTCATATTGTTGTGGAAACCGTGATGCATTTTGTTCAGGATTCTTTGATGAATAAAAAGTTCAAAAGAACAGCTTTCATTTGAAATCTTTGTAAATGTCTTTAATGTCACTTTTGATTAATTTAATGCATCCTTGCTGAATAAAAGTATCAGTTTCTTTCACAAAAGATCTTTTTTGACCCTGAACTATTAAACGGTAGTGTATTTATAAAAAATAATGACATTAAACAACTCTCAAAAACAAGAGTGCTGTTGTTCTGAATACTAACTATAAATATATAATTTTTATTTGTTTTCAGAGGAAAGGTCGCCCTCCTGGTGCAGTTGTACAGTACGACAGACCAGCCCAGTACAGCACTGCGTAAGTGTCCTTATGTTTTCTTTATCGGATGTCTCCACATATTAAAGATTCAACCTTTTGAAATTTTTAAATGTCCTCCGCAGAGCAAAACCCAAAGTGTCCGAGCCAGTAAGGCGGGAAGGACCTAAGGTAGTTATAATGTGCATTTGGATTAAAATAGCATAATAATTGATACTGAAATGTTTATATTAACGTAAGTGTGATGATGTTTGTAAAGTGGGACCCATCCAGACTGACTGAGAACAGCACATTCGTTCTGGGATCCAGGGCAAATAAGTAAGTGGATAGAGGCTTGCTCAAACTATATTATATTATATTATATTATATATTTCACAATAGCTGACAAGAACAGGCCCTCTTAAACAACATTTGGTTGTATACGTTCAACAAGTGAAGAGTTCATTAACCGATAAACGCCACTTTAAAGGGGTCATATGATGCTGCTAAAAAGAACATTATTTGGTGTAATGAAATGTTTATGCGGTTTAAGGTTTAAGAAACACATTATTTTCCACATACTGTACATTATTGTTTCTCCTCTATGCCCCGCCTTTCTGAAACACGTCGATTTATACAAAGCTCATCAGTCTGAAAAGCGAGGTGTGCTGTGATTGGCCAGCTATCCAGTGCGTTGTGATTGGCCGAATACCTCAAGCGTGTGACGGAAATGTTACGCCCCTCACCATACTGTGATGCCGTGTCCGGCCGGAGCGATGATTCAAAAACATGAAAACCCATTATAAACGAGGCATTTGTTGCATCCAGTGGGGACATAATTATGGATTATAATGACTTATAATGTGTTTTTACGCGTTGCATTGCGCCGCGTAAACATAAAACCCTGCCTGCATTTGTGATCGGAGAAATGACAAACAACAAGCTGTATTCAGGTCAGAAAGCTGACTAAAAGTGATCGAGGATGGATCATTTCAACTTGATGAACCTGTGATATCTTCTTCAGGGCGAAAAAGGAAAATAAAAGCTGAAACTTTTTCACGGAACCATGC